TGGAATCCCCTCCTGGGACAGCCTCCTCCTCCTTCCCAGATGGGCTCCTAGTGCCTGGGAAACAGGCCCTGAGTGCCTGGGAGACACTGCACTCTCATAACAACTACTGGGAGAGGATCTGGGTGAATTCAGGAGGACAGAGGTTCCCCAACCTGGCCCAGCTTCAGGGTGGACTTCGTAGTCTTGGGCTCATGGCGAGGCCTCCTGGAGCTTCTGAGGGGTGACTGAGCTAAGAGTGAGGGTTACAGCTGGGAAGTCATTGGCCCAGCCCCCACCTTGAAGATGGTGCTAGTCACAGACAGGAAAACATTGAAGGCTTCCTCCCGCAAATACTCCCTGCCCTTCACCCTGGCCTCGACTTTGTTTCTGGCAGTGGTTGTGCCTGTTTCTCTTCCTTCCCATTCTTCCAGGACACATGGGGACTGAACTGCAACCTGGCTCACCTCAGGTGGGAAGAGGGAAGCCTGGCAGGGCACTGGGGCCTGCCCTCCTGGTCTCCACACATGGAGGCTGGCCTTGGAGGGCCTGGGCCTCAGAGACCCTCCATTCCCCCTGGATGAAGGTGACAGCCACAGCGGCACTCCCTCCTCTGCTCCCCTGCCCCAGTCTTAGGGGGGAACCTGTTCCCCAGGCCTGGCAGGCTGAGCAGGCCCTGGCCCGCCCAGCTCTAGCATCGCTGGCTCAGGTTTCCTCGCTTTCTGGTTTTCTCATCTCCCTGCCCCAGGCGCCGCTGCCTGCTCTCTGGCCCAGCCCCCACCCACCCGGAACTGGATCCCAGGGAGGGGGAGTGTTGGAAAGGGGGCGCTTGGGGCAGCCGGTTGGGCAGCACCTGGAGGCGGCAGGCCACAGGGACTCACTGTGGCCCAGGGCCAGGATGAGTTTCCTTGTTCAGCCTTCTCCTGCCCGGCCTGCCCCAGGGGCTGGCTCTGAGCCAATCAAAAGCTGGAATGACCCACCTCCCTGGCTGCTCCCCAAAGCTGTCTTCAAGCCTTCTCTGCTGTTGTTCTCTTTACCATGAATGTTCTTCCTGGACTTCATTGCCAGTCTAAACCCTGTGTTTCCTCTAGGCCTGGGCCCTCGGCCACCTCTTCACCGATAGACACTGCCCCTTTCGGCACAGGCTCAGCCTCCCTTCATCATCCTCCTCCCACATTGGGCCCCTCAGGCATCCCGAGCCTCTTCCGGGAACTCTACACTCTATCTCTGGGCCTTTGCACATGCTGTTTCCCTGTATCTGGAATGGCTTTCCTGTTTCCTTCCAGATCCTTCAGACCTCCGGACAGGCATCATCGCCCAGGAAGCCAGTCCTCATAGCTGGGTCAGGAGCTTCCTTGGGCCCCTGCAGGTCTGTCACCCCTTTTCAGACACTGAAAGATCCTGCCCTGGGTTCCCAGACCTCTTTGTGTTCTCCCAGTGGGCCCCACATGAATCTATCAGCAACTGCTTCCATGTGAGTTCAGAGCGTGTAGTAGAGAAAGGGACAGGAGGCAGTGAGATCCTTGCCTGTTACCCCACACCCCTCATTCTGCATGTCTATGCATGTGTATCTGTATGTGTGTGTCTGTGTGCGTGTGTGTGTCTATGTGTGTGCCTGTGCACGTGTGTCTGTACATGTGTCTGTGTGTGTGTTGGACAGTAAGGGAGGTAGGGTTGAGTTTGCCTAAGCTCGGCTGACTTCGAAGTGACCTGTGACCATTGGCCACTCTGAGCACATCCTGTTTAGGCTTATTTTTTTTTTTGTCTTTTTGGTTTTTTTCCTTTTTGTGGAGAACGGGGTCTCGCTATATTGCCCAGGCAGGTCTCGAACTCCTGGGCTCAAGCTATCCTCCCGCCTCTGCCTCCCTAAGAGCTGGGATTACAGGCGTGAGCCACAGCGCCCGGCGAGCACATCCTGTTTAGACAGAGAGGCCAGACAGCCGTCCTCACTCCCTTGGGCCTGCCCAGCCCCTACTGGGGAGCCCAGTCCTGGGCCTAGAGCTCAGGCTGTATCTGGCTGTGGAGAGACCTCCCCTGTAAGAATCAGGATGGGAGCACTGGCGGGGGCTTTGTCTCTGGGTACCTAGGCCCAAGGTCAGTAATGATTGTGCAGCCCCAGCCATGAAAGTGAGGCGACCCTGCCTGTGTGGAACACACCTTGCATCAGGACCTCAAACAGGGGCCCACACTAGCAACTTCCCAGCCCGCTTCAGCTCAGCGGGGGTGGCTCTAGCCTTCAGGCTGGACTCTCTCTTTCTCTCTCATCCACACCCCAACCATCAGCAAATACGTTAAACTTCACCCTCAAAATACATAAAATATCAGGTGGCCACTTCTCACCTCCTGGGCCAGCAGAGGGGCCCTGTTGACATGGAAGCCAAGTCCTGCCCCTCTCTTCCTCATCGCTCTCCATGGCTGCTACTCTGTTGAGAGTCAAAGCCAAATCCTTAGCACGGTGGCTCATGCCTGTAATCCCAGCACTTTGGGAGGCCGAGACGGGCAGGTCACCTGAAGTCGGGAGTTCAAGAGCAGCCTGGCCAACATGGTAAAACCCCATCTCTACCAAAAAGTACAAAAATTAGCTGGGTGTGGTGGCGCATGCCTGTAATCAATCCCAGCTACTCAGGAGGCTGAAGCATGAGAATTGCTTGAACCTGGGAGGCAGAGGTTGCAGTGAGCCAAGATTGCACCACTGTACTCCAGCCTGGGCTACAGAGCAAGACTCTGTCTCAAAAACAAAACAAAACAAAAACTACAAAAAACTAGCTGAGCGTGATGTTATGTACCTGTGGCCCCTGCTACTCTGGAGGCTGAGGCTACTCCAGCCTGGGCCAGAGTGAGACTCCATCTCAAACAAAAACAAAAATTATTAAGCCAAATCCTTGGGGTGGTCGTCACCCTCCCTCCCCACCCCACCCCCTCTTCACTGCCTCTCTGACTTGTGTCCTCCTCACTCTTCCTCCCACTCCAGGCACACTGCAGCCTCAGGGTCTGCAGCAACTATTTCTTTGGCCTGGATGCCCGGCCCACAGACACCTCCATGGCCTCTCCCTCCCCTCCTTCAGGCCTTTGCTCAGATATTACCTCCTTAGCGATGCCCAACTTGACCTCCACCGTCCCCAGCAGTCTTCATCTTCACTTACTGTCCCTCTCTTTTTCTTCCCTTACCTTCCCTCTCTTTTCCCCTCCCAACATACTTATTTTCATGCTAAACTGCCAGCCAAGAATACAGCCATCATTGTCTGTTTTATCTATTGCTCTGTCTCCAGCACCCAGAATGGAGACTGACGAGTGGTAGGTGTTGAATAAATAACTCGATGAAGCTTGAATGAATACTCAATGGGGCTGTGAGCTGCCTTCCCCTTTCACCCTTGCCTGGAGCTAAGGATAAGGCATGGAGAAGCGCCCACTTGCTGTTTCCCCCGCGCCGCTGAAGAGGTGCACGGAGGTGAGAGCATCTTAAGTGAGCAGCAAGGACACATGGTAGACTCCGCTTTAACTTAAAAGTCATTGCAGCTTTAACTGTGAGCTCTCCAGGGGCGGGCCTAGTCCCTTAGGCAGAGTTGTTCCTCAGGGGCTAGGAGAGACCCACGCAGCTCCCTGACAAAGCTGACAGTAACAGGGTCTGATCCTGGGAGGTTTCCGCTGCCTCCCAGGCCTGCATCTGCTGCGCACACTCCCTCCATGTGTCTATGTGGCCACAGTCCTGGGGGGCGGGGGGGCCTGAGGAGGGTCCTGCAGCCAGGACTGCAAGCTGGGATCTGGACTTACTTAATTCCAAATGACTGGGGAATGTACCTTCCGTGACAGCAGTGGTGTGGCCTTCCCTAGTTCCTCACTCCCAGCAGGGGAGTGGGGCCCAGATGAAGGCAGCCCCACAGAACGGAGGAGGGGCTGGTGGGCAGACGCTGGGCACCCTGCCATCCTGGCCTTCCTCCCTAAGCCTGGTTCCAGGTCATGCCCAAGGAGGAGTTGCGACATGAGATCCCTGTCCCTTCACCCAAACCAGAGTTCTGAGCCCAGAGCATCCTATTTGGTCTCCAGTTTCCTCCAGCCAGGAACTGGAGAGGCTTCACCAGCAAGACCTCTGTGCACAGCAGTGCCGGGGCTGGCCAGTGAGGAATGCTTCCTCCAGAGAATCTCCTTTTTACAGCACGCAGCTTCAGTGCTTTGAAGGAGGGTCGGGAAAGCGGGGCCAGTGCCAAGTGGTTGGGAGCCAGGCCTGCCCTGGCCAGCCTGGTGCCTGCTCCTAAGCACTCCATCTAGAACGATGAACCCCTTTGCTCCCTGTGCTGTGGTTGGCAGGGCAGTGAGGCCAAGCCTGTGATCCTATCTTGAAGTTTTGGTGACTGCCTGTCCTAGGATTTGATTTTCTAATGTAACTGGGCAGAGTGGGGGCCTTGGCCATTCCTGACCTCTGACCCTTCACCCAGGGATTGGAGGCTCCACTGGCTATCTGTGAACTCCTGGGAAGAATTAGGCCTCAGGCTCGCCTTGGCCAGAACGTCATTGTGTACCCATTTAATAGAGGGAAATGCCGAGGTCTTGAGGAGTAAGGGCCTAGATGACCTTGTTGGGGATTCCAGGCTAAGACGCCCTGGAATGTTGGGGTGCAACCTCTGAAAGAAGAAAGAACAAGAACTGTCTTGAGGGTGATGGGGCATGCCATAGTCTGATTTCAGGTTTTAAAAGATCCCCTGGCTACTGGGTTGCCAGAGAGGAGGCTGTGGGTGTTCAGGAGAGAGCAGGGATCGCCTAGAGCGTGGGGGCTGCTGCCGGCCAGTTACCTTCAGACTTGGCCAGGTTCCCTTCTCCTTCCCTGGAAGCCCATCCACTGGGCCTGACCTGGAATTCTGAGGTGGGGAGAGAGGCCTCCTCCCTAGCTCCTATATACCCCGGACACATGGCCCACCAGGTTGGCCTCCCGCCCCTCTCTCTTGAGATAGTAGTTTAAGCTTTAATCGGAGGACAAGTTTCTGCAAAGCTTGTATTTGCTGCCAGAAGGAGCAGGGACCAGCCTAGACAGAGGGATGAGGGACAGAGGAGGGGTGAAGAAGGGATTGGGGAGGGCTGCATGGGGAGAGGCATAAATCCAGACCTCACACTCTGTCCTGCCTGGCTCCAGCACCCCCAGACTAACTCGAGGAAACCTAGTTCCTGCCACCCAGAGGAATGCATTCAATCGGCCACAACCTGCCGGCGTACCTACTGTGTACCACCCCCGCCCCCACCTTAGTCATGGTCACAGCTCACAAGGAAGTTTCCAGGCTCAAGCAGCAGCCCTGGCTGGCCCAGCCCTGGACAGGTTCGGATTGCCCAGGACAGCAGTAGAGAGCACAGAAGGGCAATGCTGCCACAGAGGGAGGTGACCGCCCTCCCCCACCACTGACAGGTGGACTCCTCACAGTCCTTGAGGGGAAACTGAGGCCTGTAGTATACCCGAACCCCTCTGCCTTGTCTTTTCTTATTTTTTTTTTTCCTGAGACTGCTGGGATTACAGGTGTGAGCCACCATGCCCAGCCATGCCTTGTCTTTTCTTAAAGCACCTCTAGGACCATCCTCCTGTCCCGGTTGCCCAGCCTCTTCCCACCCCACTCCCCTCTGTGGTCCTCAGTGCCCCTCTTCTCTCTGTTCGCCCTGCTCCTGCCCAGGGAAGAGGATACGCGTGGAAATCTGGGGGGCTGGGACCAGTAAGAAACTCAGCTCTTCTGTGCCAACCCCCTCAGCCTCAGTGCTTGGATTCTGAGGATGGAGCCGGGCCTGGGGGAAGGGTTGGTCTGCCACTCCCAGATTCCCCCGAGGGACAGGTCTCACAGATCACGGGGCTCAGCCCCAGCTTCGCTCCCTGGGAGTGGCCTGCCTTAGGCCTCACCCTTCCCTTGCCCCAGCTGCCCCACCAGCTGAGTGTGCCCAGCAGTCAGTACCCTCTATAACCAAGGACATGGGGACCCCAGACCAAGAGGGGTCATAACCTGCTGGGGGGGAACAAAAGATGGGCCCTTAGACAGCAACCCAAGGCCCTGGATTGACCATAGCCTCAAGAAACCACGTTTCCCAGCCTGGGGTCTGGTTGGGCCTAGGCTAGACTATGGGGGCCCAGTTCTCCAGAGAGGGGCCAGGCAGGGCTGGCTGGGGCCTGTTCTCTCAACAACACGGGTATTTCTTGCTGGAGTTATAGTTGTTCAGAGAGGGGATCCAGTGCTGGAGCCGTGGCCTACTCAGATATCTGGCTCAGTGTCTAGGCTGGGCCCTCATCACTCTGTGGCCCAGAGTGATGGGCCTTTCAGGTAGGGAAGGGGCCTCAGAGGAAAACATATGGGCTGGGCTGGGGTGGGGGCACAAGCTATGTGAGCCCTGCCACCAGCCAGAGCTGAGAGGAAATTCTGTCTTGAATACCTGAACATCCCCCTAGCTGTTCCTAGAGTTTTCTTACAATGGGGCTCATTGTGGGGGGAAACGCTGGGCATTCCAACTGTCTGGGCAAGTGCCAGTTCCTGATCCCTGTGTGACCTGCCGATCAAGGACAACCCCACCCTAAGAAAGATAGGTCCCAACCCTACCCATGCTGCCCCCACAGGGCCCCAGGATGAGGTCTCCACAGCTACCCATGCCAGGGACCCCTCACCCTGTACAGGCCAGACCTCAGACAAAGGTATCACTTGACAGGGAAAACAGGGGCCCTGAAAGGGTCATGTGGAAGGTCTGAGTCAGAACAAGCAAAGCACAGTTGGCCTGCTTTGTGGCCCAGGCAGAGGCAGCGGGGGGGTTTCTGGAGCAGCAGATTGCCTGGAAGCCCTCAGGCCACTCTATGGTTTCTGGAGGGCCCCTCATCACATCTTCCACCATGTTGACCCCAAGCCTTTGCCTAGGCTATCCTCCCACCAGGAATGCCTTTCCCTGTTTCCACAGGGGGCTCTCCTGGTCCTTCTGATCTGGTTCAAATGTGCTGTGTCTTGGTCAGATGTCATTCATTCATTCTGCAGACCTCATGTCTGCCCAGCCCTGTGATGGCACCGCCACAGAGGCTGACTTCTCCACTCCAATTTGGTCTGAAATTTCAACAAAATTGTCTAAAGTAGTGGTAGGCAAGGCCTGCAGGCCTAGAGTCGAGGGGCTTCCTGGGAGCCACTTCAGGAAGGCAGAAGCGGAGACTTTGATGGCCTAGAGTTGGGGGAATTTGAGTCCCTAAGAGCCTGGGCCCCAACCAGACTCCATGCCTTGGAGAGTCCTGTTAAGAGCTGGGAATTAGACTCCAGGCAGAAAAGAGCCTGGCATCTAGGGAAGCCTGAGCCCCTCTGAAGTGTGGAGCCTGGATGGTGGTGGAAGCCCCACAGCTCCAGCCTTGCTTTCCACAGAGCTCTTCAGACCCCACCAGGCCTCACTCGACCTACCCAAACATCAGAATCACAAGGCTGGGGCCAGGTGCAGTGGTTCACCCTTGTAATCTCAACACTTTGGGAGGCTAAGGCAGCCAGATTACTTGAGGTCAGGTGTTCAAGACCAGCCTGGCCAAAATCGTTACTAAAAATGCAAAAACTAACTGGGTATGGTGGCGGGCACCTGTAATCCCCCTACTCAGGAGGCTGAGGCAGGAGACTCACTTGAACTTGGGAGATAGAGGTTGTAGTGAGCCAAGATCACACCATTGTATTCCAGCCTGGTGACAGCCAGAGACTCCATCTCAAAAAAAGAAAAAAAGAAAAGGAAGGGCCAGGCGCGGTGGCTCAAGCCTGTAATCCCAGAAATTTGGGAGGCTGAGGTGGGTGGATCACGAGGTCAAGAGATCGAGACCATCCTGGTCAACATGGTGAAACCCCATCTCTACTAAAAATACAAAAAATTAGCTGGGCATGGTGGCGCGTGCCTGTAATCCCAGCTACTCAGGAGGCTGAGGCAGGAGAATTGCCTGAACCCAGGAGGCGGAGGTTGCGGTAAGCCGAGATCGTGCCATTGCACTCCAGCCTCCAGCCTGGGTAACAAGAGCGAAACTCCGTCTCAAAAAGAAAAGAAAAGGAAAGGAAAGGAAGAAGGAAGAAAGAGAAGAGAGAGAGACAGTCATGAGGCTGGGGCTGGGGTGCATGTGCACGCATGTGCATGGAGGACTCCTGCAGGCCCCATCACAGACCCCAGCTCCAGGCCTGGCTGCATGAGGCTCTCGCCTGCCCATGGGTATGTACTTGTCCCCAGTTTCCACTGCTGTAAAATGAGAGCAAGTTTCTCCTCACAGGGTGCCGAGAGGATCAAACAAGCCACTGAGCACAGATTGCCACAGATTGCCAGGAGCAGCATCTAGTGCGTTGGGCACAGGCTCCCGGAGTCATCTTTGTTATGACTCATCAGTCCTCCCCCGCAGATGACAGGCAGCTGCAGACGCCATCACTGGGGCACAGACTGCTCTGCTGCGGCCCCAGCAGAGTTGGGGGCATTTGTCTTCTCATCCAACAGAAGGGTCCCCTCAGGTTGGGGCAGTCCTCAGCTGCCCTGCCTTGACCCTGTCTTCTGCCACTGCCTCTGATCTTCCGGCATCCAGGCCCCCACAGTGGCCTGCCCAGCACACATGTTACACCCACTGGACCCTCCACAGGCAAAGGCAACCTCACTGTCCTCCAGGAGGCTGCTGTGGGGAGAGGAGGGACCGGTATGTGGGTTGTCATGGGAATGGCAGGCCACCTGGGTCTCCTGGGCTTCCACCTCTCCCCCTCCTTAAATAGGCCTGTCCCCAGTCTCGATGGCTCACGCCTGTAATCTCAACACTTTGAGAGGCCGAAGCAGGTGGATCACGAGGTCAGGAGATCCAGATCATCCTGGCTAACATGGTGAAACCCTGTCTCTACCAAAAAATACAAAAAATTAGATGGGCGTGGTGGCACATGCCTGTAGTCCCAGCTACTTGGGAGGCCGAGGGAGGAGAATCACTTGAACTTGGAAGGCAGAGGTTGCAGTGAGCTGAGATCACGTCATTGCACTCCAGCCTGGGCAAGAAGAGAGAAATGCCATCTCAAAAAAAAAAAAAAATAGGCCAGCCCCACTCTGTCTCTCCCACTCTGGCTCTGACACCAACAGTTCAGTAGCTCTGACCCCAGCCCAAGCTTCCTGCAAACAATTATGCACCAGGAGCCGTGGGGCAAGAAGATGAAGCCCTGAGTCAGCAGGAGGTGTCAGGAGACAGGGTGCAGAGGGTGCCCTGGGGCTGAGAGGGTGACTGAAGGAAAGCTGCCTGCAGGAGGTGACGCTGCTGCTGGGTCTTAAAGGATGCATCACAGATTCCTGTCCAGAAGGAGGAGTGAACAGCCAGCAGGAGGGCCTGGAGGCGTGCCCTGCCATGGTGTGTCCTGGGGGCCAGAGCGTGGTGCTATCTGGAACAGGACTCGGGCTGTTTCACAACTACTAGCGATGGGCGACAGGGTGAGAGCAGAGGCAGTGCTGCACGTGAGCTTCACGTGGCCTGGCTCTTCCAAGGATGGGGGCGGGGGTGCTGGATGGAGCAGCAGAGAGCCAGAGTGAGGGCAGCCGTGGGCCCTGGAACAGTCCTTGGGCAGGGCCTGGCCGGAGGTGCCTAGGCCAGGCGGGCAGGTGCAGCTGGCCCTGGGAAGCAGAAGTGCTCAGAACCAGGGGCTAGGGCTGGGCGGTGCTGGAGACTGCCAGCCTGGGGAGCCTTTGCTGCCTCTGTGAGGACTCTGTTTGTCAACCGAGACCCATCCTCCCCAGAGGGACAGGACACCCGATCTGTAGGACATATTGCTTTCAGGAGGGGTGGTAAACAGGTGTGCCTTGAGGTCATAGGCCAGGTCCCTCTCATACTTTCAGCCCTCTCCAGCTTCCCAGCTTCCTCCTCTGCACTCCTGGCTGCTGTCCATGGAGGGTCCTTGCACTGAGGCAGGGCCTGTTGGCTTCCAAGGGGGCAGAGTTACTCCTCAGAGACTCTGCCCTTGTGCCCTTATTCATAAATGGTGACACTGAGGCCCAGACACTGAGGGAGAAGTCTGTGCCCAGAGTACCAAGGAGCTGAGGGCTTCAGCCTCCCGGGTCTCCACCAGCCTTTCTCCCGACCCCCCTGCACAAGCACTCCTGGAAAAAAGAGCGGGCTGAGTGGTCCTGAGACATCCCTAACCCTCCCCAAACCCTGCCTGGGGGTCCCTACCCAGAGGGGCTGCGGCTCCCCCAGGGCTTCTCTGGGAAGCGGATCTGCCAAGCCAGTTTTGGGGAACAGGGGTAGGGGTGCAGTCAGGGTCTCAGGCAGGCTGCTGGGCAGGGGCTTCAGTCTCCCCCAGGAGCTGTCTGTGTTCCAGGTGTCAGACAAGGCTCTGGGCTGCCCCGCCCCCACCAGGTGTGGGGCTTCCGGCAACTCAGAGGCCCCTTTGTCCTCTATCTTCTCTGCCTCCTTGGTGGCAGTGCACAGATAAGCATCCCATTTGGGGCTGAAATTCCAGTCTGGCTGCCCGTTCTACCACCTGGGGGTCTGGGGCCTGCCAGCTACACACTCTCTCCCGCCGTGGGACCCACCCAAAGTGTCCAGTCCACCCAGCGTCCCCAGCTGCACATTCTTTCCAGGACCCCTCCCCAACCTTTGCACTGGGACCTGCACCCCCCACCCCCTTGGCCACAGAGGCGCAGTGCCACCAACATGGCCATCTCATTACCCCAGCCCTCTACTTGCTGACAGTGAACCACTTTGAGGCTCTTCCCCTCCCCCGATTCCCACTGCACAGAGTAGGGGCTGGGGAGGTTCACTCAGGGGCCCCTGACCTACCAGTGAGGGCCTGATGCGGAAGAGCTGACCCCTGTGTAATCCCAAGGACCCCAGGGCAACCCCCAGACACAGGCATCCCTGAGACTTCCTCAGCCACCCCTCTCAGGGACTCTCCGTCTCTCCTAGCCCCGTCTCAGCCTCTCTTCTTCCCCGGCTCCCCCCTCCCCCCTCATTAAGCCTCCTAAACCCTCCAGCTCCCTGAAGCAGGAAATTGCATTCTGCCAAGATTAAATGGACTTGAACGCCCTGCCTCTGCCCGCAAGGGAGGGGAGCTGAAAGGAGCCAAGTTTGCTGGGGGTGGGGGCCCAGGGACACTGAACCCCAGGTTGGAGAGGGGGACTCAGAAGGGTGGGGTACTTCAGGATGGGGTGGGGGATCCCTGAAGGGCAGAGGGGAGAAGACAGGGTCTGCAGGGAGACAGGGGGCTGGGGATGCTGGCCCCTCCCTGCTGCAGCGGGGGGATGAGAAGCCAGGAGGGGAAGCCACTCTGTGGGGGTGGGGGCAGATTCTGATTAGGTGGGGGAAAGGGGGAAAGGGTGGAGGGAAATGGTGACTGGGAGGTGAGAGAGGATGCCTGTCAGGTTGAGACCCAGCCCACAGGAAATGGGAAATGAACTTTGAGGGGTGGCTCTCACTCTCCAAGGGGTGTATTTGGAGTACTCAGTGGGAGGGGCTGGCACACTCTCACTTCCCACTGGCACAAGGTCCACCAGGAAGGGTACAGTCAGAGACCCCTGTGTGCCCGTAGGCCGTGGAGGAGCTCAACACAGCTCTACCAGCAGCAGGACCCCGCAACCCACCTCCTGCGCTGTCTGAAAGTCTCCATCAGGACACAGACAGCACTGACCTCAGGCAGAGGAGAGAGGCATTGAAGTCAACACCTACCAGCACAGGCCCAGACCCCACTGGCCACAGCAGCCCCATGCCCCACAGATGGGGACGCCATCTCTACTTCTCAGCCGAGAGAGCTCTGAGACCTAGCCAGGCTGCCCTAGCTCCTCTCCCAAATATAGGGCCCCTACAAGGCCAACTCCAGATTCGAAAGGACATGCCAGGCTCTTCATTCTCCAGGTGGGTGAGGGCAGGGACAGCTGAGCTGAGTGTGGGTCTTGAATGGGCCCCTGAGTCTAGATCAGGCCTTCAGAGCCTGGTAAAGCCAGGGGGACTGGAGCCAGGGCTAGAGAAGCAGGAGGCACAGCTGGTCCCAGATGGTCAGGCGTATCCCTGGGAGCACCCATCCTGGGGCATCACGGACAGGGGTAACGATGTTCATGGTGCACCCCTGGTATGCCAGCCTGTCCTTGCCATAGGGGCAGGGGTGGGCACTGGGACACGGGGAAACACAGCTTGGTTCAGTCAGTGTGGTGGTGGGGAAAGCAGGGCCGTAGGAAGCAAACGTGATTTGCGAGCCAGGAGTGGAGACAGGTTGTCTGGGGAGGGCCCCGGAGAACGTCAGCCTGGCTGAATGGGGGCAGGCAGTGGTCAGCCATGAGGCTGGGGGCTCAGAGGTCCGTGTGGTCATCAGGCAAGATTGTGGCAATGGATGGCTGCAAGAGTTCGTGTGAGCTCCAGATCAGGGCTGAGGGGCTTCCTTCCTCACCTTCCCCAGTCCCATCCCACTTCCCCAGTCCCATCCCACTTCCCCAGTCCCGTCCTACTTCCCCAGTCCCGTCCCACCTTCCCCAGTCCCGTCCCACCTTCCCCAGGGCCTCAGCCCCACCGTCAGCCTGAGCTGGGCAGATAATTTCGAAAGAAGCTGGGTCCATTTTGGTAGCTGTTGAAAAGCAGGCTTCCACTGCCCAAATGTGGGGAACTGACACTGTGTCTGGGAGGAGTGGGCAGTGGGGCAGGTGTATGCTAGGGTAGGGCATGTGGGGCCACCCTGGCAGGCCCCCAGGGAATTGGGTGCCTGCTATCGCAACACCGGTACTGTGCCTGCTGGGAAGTGACACAGCTGAGTTCAGGCTGGGCTGAGGTGACAAGTACCCCCTGAGTCTGCTCCTCCAACGTTCCTGGCCTGAATGTCCTCTGATCCCTTCCTGGCTGCATTCTCAGTCTCCAGGAGGATGAATGGAGCCTGCTGCCAGTGAGATCTGAGGTGGCCTCTGCTGCAGATTCCTGATGGGCAGTGACCCAGGGCCCTGCCTCTGCCGAATCCTGGCTGCGCGTCCCTAGACTATCCATGGTGGAAGGGCAGTACCCTGGCACCTCTGCTCTGAGCTCCTGCCCAACCTCTTCCCCTGAGACCAGCTCTCAGAGAAAGCCTGATTAGGTAGCTCCAGCCATGAGGGGCTCCCCTAGGTCCTTATACAGCCTCTTGCTCCGGGCTGCACTTGGAGACCCCTGGACCTGGCTAGCTCAGCTCAGGGACTTAAAACTCCCAGTCCCTCCCTTGGAGTCTCACAGCTCCTGTGGCCCCCATCACAGGTCAGACCACTCTTTATCTGCTTTGCCCTCCTTTCCAAGAGACTCTGAGCTCTGGGAGGACAGCTGCCACTTCTGGCTCAGTCACATTTGGTACCAGATTCTGGCAACCCTGGGTAACAGTTCAGTCACCCAACCTAGTGACTGACCACAAGGTACATTTCCAGAGCTCTACGGAAAACACTGCTTCATGGAAAGTCCTGTGTGCCCCTCCCTTTCCCAGGCCCCAGGGTAGGGGGTTGAGGAGAGGGGGTGGGGGTGAGTGGTGGTGGACATGGGCCAGATGTGGTTTCTGCCTGCAGGGTGCTCAGAATCCTTCCAGAAGACAGGACTGGGGGCAAGAAAAGAGGCCCCTGAGAGACCTGGAATGGTTGGCCTGTCAGTGTTTCAAGAGACCAAGGCAGGCTGTTGAGGCTGGGGGCGCTCCAGGAGGTCCAGGGAGAGCAGTACTGTCAGATGTGCTAGGAAGCCTCCCTTGGCAGTTCATCTTCAGCTTGGTCAGCCAGCAGTGAGGACCACCTCAATGCCCCTCAAGTAGCCCCCTACTCCCAGCTCTGGTCTGCTCCTCAGCTGTGTGCCAGGGTCGCCTAAGCAGCTGACAGTACAACATATCTACCCCACCCCTCAGCAACCACCCCTACCCACGAAGACAAACCCCCTGAAAGCCTCAGCTCCACACAGGGGGAACTGGCCCTTTGCTCCCCTACCAGGAGGCCCATTCTACCCATCTGTGCTGGTGGAGATCCCTGCCTTGGTGACCTGAATCAGTGCCTCTCCCTGTGCCCTGGTTAGGCCTTGTACCCTGGCCCACTGTCCGGCTCCCAAGGCTGTGCAGATCATGAACTGTGGGATTTTGGACAAATCTCCTGTCCTCTCTGAACCTTTGAATTTCCCAGCTCTAAAGCTGGGATGCTCACGTCTTGGCCAGCAGGTGGCTGGCTGCCCGACAAGGCCATATGTCCTGGGTTTGGGCTGACACATCACACAGGCTATAAATGGTGTGGGCCTTTCCTCCACTTCTTTTTTAAATGCCTCCTTGGGAGGAGGGTCTCTGGGCCCTGATGTCTGATCCTGGAGCCCCAGGGACCTTGCTCCACTAAGACAGAACAATTCAAGTTTCTTGATGTTGAGGAATCAGGCTAGTCCAGGGATACTGGTCTGGTGGAGTTCGAGGCCTGAGCCCCGCATGATATGGATGTACAGGATGTAGGGGGCAGGCTGCTGACTCTGACCCTAAAGGAGAAACAGTGCCAGGAGTCTAGGCAGTGCCAGACTCTAAGCCATCAGGTGTTGGGATGAAGTTGCCTTCATTCCTAGCCTGCTGAGCTCTGTCCTGCCCCAGCAGAGGGACTTGCACAGCCCTGCCTTGCCCTTCCAGTCTCTCTCACCCACACTGCTTGTCTGACTGGACAGGGGCTGCAGTGCTGCACAAGCCTGCTGGGGCCAGCTGACCTTGAAGGGCCTGCCCAGACGGCTGTGCTTTAGCTGATGCCAAGCACAGGCAGGCCACACTGAGAGGAGTTGACCAGATACCTGCTGCTCACATGAGAAGCCCCCAGCAGCCCTCACCCCCAGGACTTCAGCCATAGGGTCTCAAGCATGGAGGAGCTGTAGAGTGGCTCAGGATCAGCTCCCTGGTATTGGGAGCTCTCTGGAGAGCCGGGGAGCCACAGGTTGCTGGGGGAGAAAGGGGACCTGGCCCTCCTTCCTTGGATTCCATAACTCAAGAGGGTTATGAGGGACCTGGGAGATAAGCACCAACCTCTGCTTGCCCCGCTGCTGGAGCCCTCACTGAGTGGGGAGGGAAGGCTCAGGACCAGGATTCCCTACATAGGACATCGCCACTCTCACCTATGGCTTGGCCTGGGCTCCCTCCCCCCCAGCCCTAGCCTGGGGCTTCTCTGGTTTGGGAGCTTGGGAGGAGCAGGGGTAGAAAGAACAGTGAGCAGGAGGTGGGGGGTGGGGAGTAGGCACAGCACTCCTCCATCATTGCCCCAGCCCAGGCCCCACCACCTTCTTACCAGAGGTCCCAGTAACACCTTCTCCCTCACCCTTCCCACCAGCTGGCAGCAGGACAGAAAAGAATTAGCTATGCCTGCCATGGAGAACCCTGTGGCTTTGTCTGGGCCAGCGGAGCCTAGAGGGCTGGTGGGAATAATAACTCATGAGAAGTGTCAAACACAGACTTTATTATCTTGCACATTGTGCTGCAGACCTAGGTGTTCAGGCACTTGTGGACCCTTCTGGGGCATCAGTGGGCAGGCAGTAGGGACCCCTTCCCCAGGTGAAGTGGACTCTGGGCTGCTGTTCTCTAAAAGAGACTGGGGAGGGCAATGCTTACCCCAAACAAACCTTCTGGCCTCTGGGACATCCCTGCCTTGGGCAAGGAGGAGTGGGAGTAGGTGGGGCCTCACTCAGGGGTTCTCTGTCACCTCCCAAGGTTGGCTGGCTCATCTGTACCCCCACTTCTTGGCTGTAGGTATAGGGTCTTGGCCCTTGTGCCTAAGGGACAGGGAGTCAAGAAGCAACTTCCCTTTGGCTCTGACATCCATCTGATGGCCCTGTAGTCCTTCGCTTTGAGGTACTTGGCATGGAGCTGCCAGAGTCATAGAAACTCTCAGTGTCCATCCTGAGATGGAAGGGCCCCTCCCCAGCTGACGGGTAGGATGGGAAGACAGGCCCAGGT